GAAATTATCAAACAGTATCACTGATATCACATGCAAGCAAGATTCTGCTGAAGATCATCCAAAAATGACTGGAACAGCACATCAATAGAGAACTGCCTGAAGAGCAGGCTGGATTTAGAAGAGGCCGTGACCCTAGGGATATTATAGCTAATGTCAGATGGATCTTGGCTGAAATCAGAGAGTACCAGAGGAATGTTTGTGTTTCGTTGACTATGCAAAGGCATTTGACTGTGTGGATCACACTAAACTGTGGCTGACTCTGAGAACAATAAGAATCCCAGGACGCTTAATTGTGCTTATGTGAAACCTATGCTTGGACCAGGAGGCAGTCATCAGAACAAAGACACACTGCATGGTTCAAAATTGGGAAGGGTGTGTGGCAAGGATGTGTCCTATCTCCATATCTTTTCAAACTATATGCAGAACAGACCTTCCGGGAGGCTGGGCTCTATGAGGAAAAGTGTGACATTGGAAGTAGACTCATCAACTATCTGCATTATGCAGATGACCCAACCGTGCTTTCTGAAACAGGAAGATCTCAAGCACTTGCTGCAGAGGGTTAAGGACTGCAGCCTTCAGTATGGATTGAAGCTCAACATAAAGAAAACAAAGATTCTCACCACTGGGCCGATTGGCAGCATTATGATAGATGATGAAGAGATTGAGATTGTTGACAGCTTGAGTTTGCTTGGCTCTACAATCAACACTCTTGGTACCTGCATGCAGGAAATGAAAAGGCAAATTGCATTGGGAAAATCTTCTGTCAGAGACTTCTTTAAAGTACTGAAGAGCAACAGTGTCAGTCTGGAGACTAAGGTGGGCCTGATTTGCAATTATTTGCTATGCATCAGAGAACTGGACAATGATTAGGGATGACAGAAGGAGAGTTGATGACTTTGAGCTGTGGTGCTGGAGAAGAGTACTGATAATAACATGGACTGCTAGGAGAACAAGCAAGTCCATCCTAGAGAGGGTGAATCCAGGCTGCTTCTTGGAAGCAAGTATACCGAAGCTTTGTCTGACATACTTTGGACATGTTGCAAAGCAGGATCAGTCCTTGGAACAGAAGGTTATTCTTGGGAGGGTGGGGGGACAGCACAGGAGAGGAAGACCCGCGATGAGATGGATTGATTCTGACAGTGGGGTAATTGGGATAGATGTGTTGAAGACAATAAGATTGGCAAGGGATAGAGCAGGATTTATGGCTGTTGTACATAGGGTCGCTATGAACTGCAAACAACTTGACGGCACATAACATAAACAACAATGACTTAGGGATCATTATTGCTGACTTTGCAGCTCTTCCCACAGCCCCTGTAACTGACCAGTTAGTCATCAAAAGCTAGTGGAAAAGGTGAGCAGGGCTGAGACATGCAGCTCTGGCTGTGGCTGAAAGGCTCTCTCCCCCTATGGAGGACAGGGTTGAATTCCTCTTAAGAAGTCCCTGACTAGTGCAATGGTGAGCATATTTGATTGCTAATCACCAAAAAGATGTGAGTTTAAATCCGCCCAGAGGCATCTTGGAGGAAAGGCCTGGTGATCTGCTCTGAAAAAAATCAGACATTGAAAACTCTATGAAGCATGACACACATGAGGTCTCCATGAGCAGAGATCGAATGGACAATTTGGTATTTCTCTCTTTTAATCTCTACTGAAGATTATCCAAAACTGAAAACAGCAGTACATTAAAGGAGAACTGTCAGAAGTTCAAGCTGGACTTAGAAGAATCTGTGGGTGATGTCAGAGATGGATCTTGATCAAAAGTAGAGAATACCAGTAGAATGTAGATGTGTTAATTATTGACTATGGAAAACTATTTGCCTCACAACAAGCTATGGCAGACATTGAGAGGAATGGGAATCTCAGAACATTTAGTTGTGTTCATGTGAAACCTATAAGAAGTTGTCATCTGAAAAGAGCAAGGGAGACTGCATGATTTAAAGTCAAGAAAGGCGTATGTCAAGGATGTCTCTTTTATCAGTACTTTTTCAATCTGTGTGCTGAGTAAGTAATTTGAGAAGCTAGACTTTATGAAGAAAAATGTAGCGTCAGGATTAGCAGTAGATTAATCAACAGCATGCATTATGCAGATAACATAACCATGTTTACTGGAAAGCAGGGAGGAACTGAAATGTCTATTGCAAAAGATCAAGACTACAGCCTTCAGTATGGATTGCATCTCTACATCAAGAAGACAAAAATCCTCACCAGTGGACCAATAAGCAACATCATGATAGGTGGAGAAAGATTGAAATTGTCAATGATTTCATCTTACTAGGATCCACAATCAACACCCTTGGTATGAGTAATAGGAGATCAGTAGACATTTTGCATAGGGTAAGTCTGCTATTAGGGACTTTTCCAAGGTCCCGAAAAGCAGTGATACCAGTTTACAGACCATGATGTACTTGATTTGAACCATGGTCTTTTCAGTCACATGCTATGCATCTGAGAGCTAGACAATGAATAAGAGTGACAGAGGAACAATTGAAGCCTTTGAATTATGGACTTGGGGGAGAGTACTAAATATCCCACAGGCAGCCAAAAGAACAAACATATATATCTAGGAGAGTGTGCAGACAGAGTGCTTCTTAGAAGCAAGGATGGTGAATGTTTGTGTCATCCTTCGGGAATGTTGTTAGAAAAGGCCATCCCTTGGAGAAGCTTGGAAAGCTACAGAGTCAGTGAAAGAAAGGAAGACCCTCAATGAGGTGGATTGATACAGTGACTGTGGCAATGGGCTCGTGTATGGCAGAGATGAGATAAGACTGAGTTCAGGTCCGCTGTTCATAGAGTCGTGATGTGCTCTACTTGTTTCGACGTCACCTAACAACAAAATAGTAGCAACATTCTCTTTGGGTAGGAAGATTCATTATTGTTGACCCAGTTATTTACAGATGAAGCTGAGGCACAAGCAGGACCGCCCAGCGAGGTAGAAAATGAGGGGAACTCTGTGTCCTGGTTAGCACATTCTGTCCTTCCACAGCGTGCTGTGCCGCAGCGCCGTGACCGATCACGCTCACCGCGCAGCAGTGTATGAGCTCCTGGCAGAGGCAGACATCCACCTGAAGGCGCGTATGGCCCCGTTTCTTCTGGTATGTTTCCATTTTGTCCTCTGAAGTTTTAAAGTATTTTGTTGATATGTATATTTTTTAAAAACTTACTACATTTTTTACAGGGATTACATTAAATCTCTAAGACCAACATATGAAGAGATGCTTATTCTTCACACCTAGAAACTTGACCTACTTGAAGCCATTTACATCTCCCAATGAAGTTTAGTTGCCATATTTGAACCTGTCTCATTAAATCACATTTAATTATTTGTTACTTACTCTTGCTATTACAAATGAAATCTGTTTTTTCTCTGTGTGTGTGTGTGTGTGTGTACCATCAAATCAGATCTGACTGGTACAGGAGGAGACTGCCCCTCCTTCTCCAGCAGAGCATCTGGTGGATTCGAACATGTACCTCTAGGATTGCAGTGCAGCTTCTTGCCACTAGGCCACCAGACATCCCGAAATCTGTTTTTTTCTTATTTCCTATTTCATTTTTATTGCCAGTATATAGCAATGCCATGGCTTATTGTTTCTTTCTTTCCTATTATATTATTACATTATCTCTATTAGCTTTTGGGGAAGCTCTGATAGGGTAGGGGTATAAAACAGCTGCAATTCCAAAGGCACATTGTTCAAATCCATCAGCTTCTCCTGCTGGAGAGTCAAGTAGGAGTCAGTTCTGACTTAATGGCACACAACAACAACAACAGTAGTGAGCTTTTTTTTATTTTTATTTTTTAATTTAGTTTGTTTATTTTTCATTTCAATGAACATCTACAGAGATTTTGG